AGGATATCCTAGACAATGACAAAAGGTCTAATAGCAAGAATACACCAGGTAGGTGAGCAGTTAAGTCGAAGGGGGATAAAGAGAAATTAGTGATAGAAATATAATGACAGGAATAAATCAGTACCTTTCAGTAATAATTCTCAATTTGAAGGGTCTCAATTCCCCAATCAAAGGACACAGATTGACAAAATGATGGGTCAAGAAACACAATCAAATGTATGTTGTATACAAGAAACAGATTTAGGTCCAGGGATTTAGCTCAGTGGTTCAGTGGCCTGCCTTGCAAAGCACAAGGACCGGAGTTAAATCCCTGGTACCCCACCCAAAAAAGAAACACATTTAACTGAAAAAAGAGATTCATAGACTACAAATCAAAGAATAGAAAACAATATTCCATGAAAGAGGAACCCAACCACCAGGAGTAGCTATCCTATTTTTAGAAAAAGTGAATTTCAAGCCAAAACTGATCAGAAGAAGCAAAGAAGTTCCCTACATATTGGCCAAGGGAACAAGCCAACAGGAAGGGATAACACTGGGGCACCCAGCAATGTAAAACAAACACTACTGCCCATAAAAGATCAGATAAACATTAGCACAACTATAGAGAGGAAGGTCAACACCCCACTGTCACAAATTGATCAAGTAGACCAAAAAGTCAACAAAGAACATCAGAGTTGAACAAAACCTTTGAACAAATGGATTGAACAGACACCTACAGTGTTCTACCCAACAATAGAATACACATTCTTCTCAGTAGCACAGGAAACTTTCTCCAAAATAGATCACATAATAGCAAATAAAGCATACCTAAGTAAATGTAAAAGAACTGAAATTATCCCATGCATATTATCATACCATAGTGCAATGAAACTAGAAACCAATGGCAAAATAAACCATAGAAATTATTCAAACACATGAAAATTGTTAAATAATCAATTCATCACACAAGAAATCAAGGTAAAAAATTAGGTTCTAAAATCAAACAATAATGCCAGCACAATATACCATACTTATGAGACATAATAAAAGCAGTCCTAAGAGAGAAATTTGTAACTGTGAATGTTCACATCAGTAAAACAGTGGGAGCCCAAATAAATAATCTATTGATGTGTCTCAATGTCCTAGAAAAACAAGAATAATTCAAATCCAAAACTAGTACTAGGAAGAAAAATATGAAGATCCAAGGAAAAGTTAATGAAATTGAGAATAAAAAACAAATACAAAGAATCAATGATTGAAGGGCTGCTTCTTTGAAAGAACAGATAAAACAACAGACCAACCCTCAGACAATCTTACCAAAAAGAGAAAGAAAAGACTCAAATCAATGCAATTAGAAATGAAAAAATTGAAATCACAACAGATACCACTAACTCTAGAGGATATTAGCAACTATTTTGAAAACCTGTACTCTGATAAATTGGAGAATTCAGAAGAAATGGACAGATTCATATATATGAATTACCTAAACCGCACCAAGAAGATACAAAACCTGGAATAATAAAATAACAGGCAATGAACTTGAAGCAGTGATAAAAAGCCTACCAACTAAGAAAAGTCCAGCACCCAGTGGATTCACTGCTAAATTCTACAAGAACTTGACACCAATGCCCTCAAACCCTTTAATGAAAACAGAGCGGTACTTCCAGAGTCATTCTTGGAAGCTAGCATTGCTCTGATTCGAAAACCAGACAAGCATCCAACCAAAAAAAGGGAACTACATGCCAATCTTAAGATACTGACAAGCAGAATGCAGCAAATCATAAAAAAAAAAAAAATACATGTTCATCAAGTAGACTTCATCCCAAGGATGCAGAGTAGGTCAAGATACACACATTAATAAATGTAATACATTACATAAACAGAAGCAAGGACAAACATTACACAATCCTCTCCAGAGATGCAGGAAAAAAAAAACAAAAAACCTTTCACAAAACCCAGCATCCAAACAGAAGCAATCTGCTGGAAGACAACATAGGTAAAATTCTTAAGGATATAGACATAAACAAGGACTTTGTAAACAGTGTCCTAACAGAAATAGCATCAAGAATCAACAAATGGGATCATATCAACTTAAAAAGCTCCTACATAGCAAAGGAAACCACCAACAGAGTGAAGAGACATCCTCCAGAATGGGAAATTATTTATGCCAGCTGTTCTTCAGACAGAGGACTAATATCTAGAATACATAAAGAACTCAAAAAAAATCAGACCCATCCAAAAGAAAAGAGCCACTCAAAAAGTGGGCAACGGAAATGAAAAGACACTTCTCAGTACAGATGGCCAATAAATACACGAAAAAATATGTTCATTATCTTTGGCCACGAGAGAGATGCAAATTAGAACAACTCTGAGATTCTGTCTCACTCCAAAAAGGATGGCCAGCCTCAAAAAAAATCAAACAACAGAAATGCTGGTGAGGACGCGGGGGTGGGTGCG